ACTTGGTTCTGCGCAGGAGTGGCGCTAAAATTTGAAGTACCGGTAGTTCGACTAGAAGATTTTATAGAGAAAAATGGTAAAATGCCATGATGGCATATCTGATTGCGAGGCAAAAGTTTAATTTGCTTGAAATCAAAATGCCACTTATGTGTCTGTGACCTCGAGAGTGTTAGGATAATTTTTAAGCCAACCCCATGCTTGCCTAGTTGTCCCTCATCATCTGGCCTAAACAGAGCAGTGTGTATAGGTGTCCATTCCTTGTTTATACTGTATATACCTATATAGTTTTATTGATTTACACAATACATACTGTTTGTACAATAGAGCTTTGTACAGTATGTATACAAACAGGCACTGACACTTACAAACACATACACCAATAAACATTAAATGTACATATCAAGATAATTATCCACTAATATGTCATAATTCTTCATGATGTTAACTACTGTAGTTCCATCCTATGAGGATGTACCTTAGCAAACTTGTTCACAGTGATGTTCACATCAAGTTTCTTGGAATAGTGAACATTCATGACAGCAATTCCATTAAAACTCATGATATCCTGTACAAATGACGTTACCTCACAGAGGTTTACTCTCACATCACCCGAACTCAACTGGGATTCCCCTTTGAGGCATCACTGCGCCTGGCGGCGATCACTTTTGACAATGTCGTGTAACACATTCATTGATTTATGCTAAATCGCCTTTGGATGTAAGTAAACCATACATATTTTTGCCATATGTATCAAACCTTACCGTTATCAGTTCAGTAAGCCAGGATCTCGATGTAAATATTACCTTCAGATATGCTTCCACCCTTAAATCTATGCTGGTAAGAAATATAAAATTATCAGTTACTCTACAGCAGGTGTGTGCAGAATTCCATGTAAGCAATCCTGGTGGCGAATGTGTTGCCTGCAGAACCTTAAGCTCTTATGATTTTTAGGCCCTCGAGTTTAGGCCTTAATTTGTGTTTTTTAAATTTAAATTTTTGCCACTAGTTCACAAATTCACAAGGCGGTTAAGTAAATGATTATTTGTTAAGGCTCTGTGGCTCTATGGTCATTGTATACTTGATTAAATACAGTGCAGTACCCCCATTTTTTAGCCCCCTCAACCTTAATCTGGCCCTGGTTACCTGACTTTGTTATGGATGACCGCTGTGTGATGCTTCAAGAGGAAATCCCGGTTGGAGTTCAGGTGGTGATGTGAGTGTGACCTGTGACCATACCCTACCTCCAGGCACCAATCTGTTTATCCCATCCCTGGGGACAGTTTGTCAAACATACCACTCAGGTACTCCAGTACTGAAAGTGAAAGCTAGTCAGAAGATGGTGAGCCATGCAGTTTAACACTGACAATGAAATCACATTACCAATAGGTCAGTTATTTGACTGATGCATATGATATCCTTGCCTCAGTCAGAATTTTTTGAACAATGCAAGTGCATTGGTTGCATTGGCCTGGATTATACAGTGTACAGTTGGTCCTCACATTACGCGGTTAATGTAACCCGGAGGGTCCCGCGGAAAGTGAGGAACGCGTAAAGTGAACAACATAACATATGGGATTAATTGAAATGGAGTCCAGGCCGATCCCCAAACTCTACTTTTTGACGACACACAACTATGTTGTAGTAAAAATATTATCTTAACTTTATGATGGCATGCACACACAATTAATAATTAAGAGAAATATCAATAATATTAGGTTTTTTAACACTTACATTAGTAGAAAAGATGGCTGGGCACACGGGGATGGGCGGTTGGTTCCGAGGCAGAGGGCAGATTATTGGCCCTCACCTGTATCACTTGTATCAATTGTATCACTATCCACCACAGAGGCTTGCAGGGCCTCTTTGTCAAACCCCCAAAGTTCATATAAGTCCATATCCTCACTATAATTATCACTATCACTGACTTGGGCCGGCTGTAGTGGGTGGCGGGTGAAGAACTGGTCATGTTTTGATGACTGGGCGACCTTGTGCGCACCATTTTCGCGCCTCTTACACAACATGGCGGATGGCGGGAGGTTTGGATCTAAAAATGGCGCGGCTTGCCAGCCGCTCTCCGCGTAATGGGGTTCACGACCGCGGAATGTGAAAATGTTAGGTTCTGGCAAGGCACCGCGTTAACGGTGAAACGCGGAATGCGGGACCGCTTAATGTGAGGACCAACTGTATAATTTTCTATACCACTATTCACACCTAATACCTTTAGATAAATAAAATAAAAGACAATATCAATTTCTTTCAATGTCAATGAAAAAACAATATCATGATACTGTTCTGCATTTGGTGATCTGGCAAAGGAATTACAATATCTTTAAGAGTAAAGTATATCAGTGTGCTGTATACATAAGGCATTTTGAGGAATTCTCTCAGTGTGTTTTCTCCAGAGTATGATAGTGGCCTGATACTGTAGGCTTACCTCTTCTCTCACTGAAGTAGCTGTGCGTGGGGACCATATAATAGTTTCCATCTTCTATCTCAGAAATTTTAGTTGTTGATGGAATAGTGTAACTGCTGACCTAATTACTCACTTAAGACCTTAGTTGTTGAAGTGCAGTAATAACATTATAACAATAACATCTGTTCATTCTTCACTTCATCTTTGCCTGTCTTACTTTCCATGTCGACATCTCCGTCATTTGACAACCCTCTAAAACTATGAAATGAATACTGTAACTTATTTGTGATAGTAAAACTTATTTTCAGAAAATTATCATGAAATGGATCTTAGTGTGTTTATTTAGTTGAATACATAAGTTTTGACAATCTTCCATCAATCAAACCACAACTTCTCAGACCACAAGATAAATTACCCAGTTCTGTACCTTTATTCCTTGTTTACATCTAAGCTGTAGGTACAGTATATTGTTTTATTAAAAGTTAGGAATCGTAAGATGTTTCGGGGAAATTTTATGCATTAGGCTTTTTACTCTTATGATTTTGTTTTCTTGGCAGGTAGAATAGTTTATAATAGTTTCAGAAGTTTATCATCACATATTTTTTCTCTTTTTTTGTAAACAACAGCTTTCTGTGAATTACACGTAAGTTATTTTAGTTGAACATATATACGGTGACATGTATGTTAGAGTTGTAAGATGTGAAAACCCTTTAACCTAAGTTACTTCAGTGTACATAATCAAGTACAGTTACATGTTCTCTGATTAATTGCTCATATGGAGCTATGTGTGTTAAAGACATAAGAATGTGTGCATTGTCAGGCGCTCTGTGATTGCACACAAAATCTAACACAGTACAAGCATACTGTACTGTTACTGTCTCTGTTTACTTTAAGCAAAACACATTGAAATTTTCTGTATTGGTTCATTGCAGAGTATATTAATGTTGAAAGTTTATAAAAAAATACATTTCTATATGCAATGATTCAGTTTAAACCTTCCTCCTAAGTGTCAAATATTTAGTACAATATATGGGCTTTCTTGTCTTGATATATGTAGGGACGGTTAAGACTAATGAAAACCTTGCTTAACCCGTTCCCTGTGTAGTGTGGTATTATTTCTGACTTCAGGCATTGTTTCACAGCTGTATTTATAAGAGCCTTGCAATCTGCTAGAATTAAGTGTCAATGTGTTATTTTCCAGTGTTTTAAATCCACCATATTTGTAATAAACAAACCTCTGTCACCTCCCACAAGGTTTTCAGGAACCTGCAGCAATGCAGTGGGTAATTTGTCTGAATTGTCAGTAAATTCATTCTAAAAATATTCTATTTTCTTTTTTACATCTTACCAGGACTGGTCTCTACGCAGTGGAGTTGTTAAAAAGGTTTTTATGAAAGCAATATAAGTTTTTTTTTTTTATCTTCCCTTCCTTAATAGAAGATTTACCTAGTAGAGGATATATTGCGTAGAGGTAGAGGTAGCATTCATGGATACTGTTGGATAGATTCTGACAGTTTGTTTCATGTGGGACTGAAGTTTTCTCTCCCACTTGGAATTGAGGATTTGGCTGTAAGCACAAGCAGTTTGGTCCAGTTAGTCAATATGATATTCAGATTCAATCCAATTGTATTTGTGAATGGCACCAGAATGTTTCATTATCCTCTTCCGTGCATGAACAGTGCTGTCAGTCACATTTATAATTATACAAGATTGAACTTGAATTTAATCTTGGTAACAATAATGATTATGCTTCTGATAACTTTTTCATTATTTTTATATACTGGTAACATAACTAAATACTGTAATAATTGTGAGATTAGTTTTGTAAAACATTTTATGAGTTCTTGTGACCGAGTACCACTGTGGCGTTGACCATGTTTGATCGATATAACTTTTTCTCTGATCTGTTGTTTCTAGTCCATAAGTTTATAGTGTGTTGCATATTTGAATAATAACTGTGAATGCCATTTCCTCCCTTTTACAAAAAAGTTGTATTTCCTTGCTATGTTTGTTCGGTCTTGATAAACTAATAAAAGGTAAAATTTTATTATTGCCAATAAAGTCACTCTAGCACCTGCTCCCATTTCCTCCTTATTGTTGTTTTTGTTTGCCTTGATAACATGACATTGGATGTTTTGAGCTCATTGTTCTCTTGTTTGATGAAACCAAGTACTGTATGTACTGTAACAGTGTGCATTAATTGGATGGCTTGTATGAAGGTCATTTACAATTATTGTTGCACTTGCAATTGTTTAATTAGAGTGCTTAGATGTATATTTTAGGTGTTAATCATGTCTTGTGTGGGTGTGATACTGTACTTAACTTTGGTGTCACATTTTGTTGAAGTAATGTAGGCATGTAAGTATAAATGAGAGAATGAGCTACTGTACTGTACTGTACTGTACATATTTGCTAAAATAATATTTCTTTTGAAGTAGGCACTTAAGTACAGTATATAACAGCAAAGGCTGATTCGAAACATTGAGTTTTTACACATGCAATATGTAAATATCAAGGAAAATAACTGTAAAACTCTTTGTGTATAAACCTTTAAATCACGCTTAACTGGCATCCTGTCCTCCAGCAGATCTATGTTCGCGCCCAATTCGACTATGATCCTCTTGAGGATGACTTGATTCCCTGTGCACAAGCAGGGATTGCCTTTAAGACCGGAGATATTCTGCAGGTGTGTTCCATTATGTTATTTTTTAAATTAAATGTATTTTAACCAATAAGAATGTACAGTATATCATGTTATTGATTCTCTGTGATGGTACAGTATGTTAAATAAAAAGGAATTTATAGTTATTGGTGCAGGTATAATTTAAAGTATCATTCATTATCAAAACTTGTATTATAACATTCTGTTAAACTTCAGATAATATCCAAGGATGATCATAATTGGTGGCAGGCGAAAAAGGATCCAAATGGTACTGCTGGGCTGATTCCGTCACCTGAACTTCAAGAGTGGCGAACTGCTTGCCTTGCTATGGAGAAGAGTAAGCGTGACCAAGGTAAAGAGATTTTTTCCTTATTCCGTTAAGGAATGTAAATTTTTTGGAGATATTTTCCCCTGAATCTCCTTGCAATTTTGTAGGTTTCAGTGCTATGAGCAAAATGCATAACTCACAGATTGCTTGTTTGAAGTCAAAAGATAAGAGACTGGTTTAGTGAGAGTACATAGCAGTGAATAACACATGTCAAACTCCTTCTTGCACTCATCAAACCTTTAAGGAGTAGTGTTACACTTAGTTATTTTATTCTGGTTAATGCCAAAAAATTTTATTCAGCTGAGAGAAGCCCCTACCAATCAGTGGGTTAATTATCTAGGTCTTCAGGATATGAATCTACTTGGTAACTACTTTAATATCAAGACATAATCTGAAAGATTAATCAGGCTTTTTTATGCCTCATTTTTATATTAACTACCTGGTAAAATTATTAATAAACTTTACATAATAGCAGTACTGTATACTACAGAATGTTTAATTTTGTAATGTACAATTGAATGTCAGTAATAATTAATAGCTCCCAAGTGTGATTTTGCAGGTTTACCCTTGATTATCTGTGCACTCAATGTTCATGCAACTTTCACATCCCAGAATTTTTGACCCATCAGTGATGATTGTTGACCCCATTAGTGATGATTGTTGACACCATCTGTATTGATTGTTGATCCCATCAGTGATGGGTTGTTCCCCAATCACTGATGATTGTTGCCCCATCAGTGATGATTGTTGCCCCACCTGTGATGATTGTTGCCCCATCAATGATGATTGTTGCCCAGTGATGACTGTTACCCCATCAGTGATGACTCTTGCCCAGTGATGATTGTTACCCCATCAGTGTTGACTGTTACCCCATCAGTGATGATTTTTTGCCTAATTAGTGATGATTGTTACCCCATCAATGATGATTGTTACCCCATCAACAATAATTGTTGCCCAATCAGTGATGATTGTTGCCCCATCAGTTATTAATAGTTTCCCCTACAGTGATTATTTTTGTACTGTAATGATTTTGTAATTTTTACTACATATGCTTCAAAGCAAACTTTTATGCAAATAATTTTAATAAGCATCAGATGCACTTACAAAATCAACCATCTCAGCTTGAATTTCATATGCAAATTCAGGGAGGTGTGTTTCGTGTAGATGTTTCCCTCTTTTTTAACTTGTTACAAGGATCGTGCACCTGTGTATAGCCAGACAAGTCTAAAGGGCAAAACCCTGGATCCCAGTCCCAACTTGAAGCCTGGATCTAACATTTGTTTCATTCATTTTGAAAAATAGTTAATCCTTTCCAAGTACAGTACCTGATTCCCTGAAAGGAGACACTTGGTATGGCAGTTCCTTAAGGGAGAAGGATGGGAGTCCTCATCACCATGCATGATGTATGCACTCCAGTCCTAATTTGTTCAGCTGTAAAAGCAAATGTTTGGGTCATTTCCTCAATGTCCATTTACTTGAGTGTTGGGTTAGATGCTGTCCCACTCTCTCCATTTTTGTTTGCAGTAAGTGATTTTACTCTCATATTTGAGCACTTGTCTCAAGATTTGTCTATAACCACTCAGTCATGGGTGTTTGAACTAGTTTTAAGGTATAGTGTGTAGAGTGGTTCTGGGCCACAAGTAATCGATTGACAGAAATCTTGAAGTTGGGTTCAGGATGATGTAACTTGGGAGGTGAAATGGACCTAAAAAGAGAAAATTTTCATGAACTATATTGACAGGAAACATGCTCCTTGATATACCCCCGTAAGTATTTTAGGAAGCTCCAAGTTTCTAATCTTGGAAAGGTTCACCACGAACTTGATGTGCCCATGTTTGGTTTATAAATTGTCCACAGAATCATCACTTGGCTTTCAGGGGTCCTGTTAAAACATTTCAAGTGGAATTGAACTTTTCAGCTGAAGATTTTGGGTAAAATTAGATCATGGGTCGTTCCCAAAGGACAGTTCATATTTATACAGTACTGATAATACTTATCACTGTTTAGTACAGTATATTGTATAGCCAAAACTGTCATATTGGTGATCAGAGATGAGTCCTGGTTCTCTCCTAGATGAAATTTTCAACAGTTAGGTATCCAGTAAGGGCACTAGAAAAGATTCTCATATGAAAATCATGGATATTGTATCAGGGTTGATGGCTCGTGTGAGCTGGGTCATAATACTATATCTGTAAATTTTAATTGTGGGAATGAATCATTTCTTTAGGCCAGCATAAGTGACAAACTTGGCATGTTTCCTTATATCTAAGATTTATGTGTCATTGGGGCACCCAGAAGGCATTTGTCCTCTTTTTTTCTTTATCTGGGAAAATGCAGATGCAACAAATAAGAAAGGTTTTTATTTCTTCAAAATGTTAACACTCTTGGGGATTTTCAAATGCAAAATTGTGTATGATAAATTATCGATTTAGGTTTTTCATACGCAAATTTGCATTTGAAGTAAAAAGTTCAAATTATTATTTTTTTATTTGCATATGAACGGTAAACATGCAAGACGCAAATTTGGCACTCTAAGGTCACCGTACTAGTCTCCCCTTTGTGTTTAAAGGACCCAGGATATATCGTTGACTCAAATTTCCCACGCTTTTTTTTTTTGCGGCATATGCATACTGTATTTCTCATGCATCACAGTGATTTTATTTATTCACAACAGTGTTGTGAGAGTTTTGAACCATGCCTTGTGTTGCTGGCAAGGGTGGAGGGGTGGCAAAACGTAAAAAGTGCAAGAAGATTGCACCATGTGGTGATAGTGTAGTGCCTCCTGATGCCTCTCCCTAACGAAATATTACGTTCTTCACAACTTTTCTTTTACGTATAACTATTTTTTCCTATATATTTTTGCTTGATAATGGAATATGGTTCATATTGCATTCACATGAAGTAACGAAGGTGTAAAGTGATTTTTAAACATTTTCATTTACATATAGAAATAATTAGTTTATCACGATTACTCAAATAAAAGTGTTTGTAGATAATTTATTTACAATGCTAATCTAACAAATCCCACCATTTTATCTCAAATAGCAAGCTTGCTATGACTCATTATGTAGTTATCTCTCAAGTGGTGCAGTGAAATGTGGTGAGGTGAGTAACAGGCCAAACCCTGAGCATCTCTCGGAAGAGCACCTACCCAAACCCAAGAGTGTTAACCTTCCATCAAAGCCCTTCTTTTTTATTGAAGCCATAAGTATTGCCAAGATGCATATTGTCAGGGTAGATATGTTATGGAAAAATAAGCTTTGCTCTCAAAATGGTAGTTAGATTCAGACTAATTTTTGGGCATGCTTTCCCAGGGATTTTGTCTGGTGGTGGCTTGGTTTACAGTGAAGAAATGCAGTTATCTGTAATATGTCTCAACAATATCATGGGAAGGCTGAGTAGGCTTGTATGTTTTCTGTGAACAGGCATACTAAGGATTGGCTTTATCCATTGCTTCAAGCAATTTCATGGTATCCCATGACTCCATGTTGGGCTAGTAGGGCATATATTCCCCTCGTGCTCCAGCTTTGTCTTAATACTATGTATTTTTCTCAATGACTGTATCAAACATTGGGGAAGGATGTGCCATACCGGTAATCCTCACTTTCCATGCTCTAGGTATTCTTGTTGCTTTAATATGGTGTAATTTTGCAAGTTTCCTGTATCCCATAGTGAGGAATATTCAATTTAACAACCTGGTTGCATTCAGAATATACACTACCTAAGTTAGAATTCATCATCTTTAGATATCCAAGATAAATGGTATCATAAGTCATTTATGACGAGATGGGACAAGGTATCAAATACTTCAGTACTATAGCTGTTGCTGGCCCATTACCTCCAGATTGTGTGGCCTTGGGGAGCTTAAGGTTAGTTCCTTTCATTCTTCCTTAAGGGACCAGCATATAGTGTGGTTCAAGAGAAATGCTCCCATCAGAGGTACAGGCTTTGCATAGCACTGGTGTCTCCTATCTCCCTTTCTTAGCTGGCTTTGGTATACAAAAGTTGCCCGATCCTTTCATCAAGTTGTAAATTAGAGGATTGATCCTAAAATCTCATTTTATAGCTGAGCAAAGGATCGGGCAACTCAGATTCCCTCCCTCCTCTCTTTTGAGCTGCTCAGGTAAGCTAGAACTGAGATTTTGATCCTGGTGTCTGCTTTTATATCTGAGCAAAGGTGGGTTTTGTAGTAAATCTGTTTTGCATATTGTTGAAGACTACCATATTTCTTCTATATGGGAACCACCACATCAAGTGTCTCCTATTGAGAAATATGGTATAATTATGAAGAATATATATATATATATATATATATATATATATATATATATATATATATATATATATATATATATATATATATATATATATATATATATATATATATATATATATATATATATATATATAGAGTATATATATTTTAGATCAGTCAACAAATTGGGTCTTGAGAGCTGAAGTTCACCCCTCACATTTGTCTGGCTATACAAAAGTAACTCAGTCCATTGCTCAGTTATAAATTGGGATTTCAGGATTAATCCTCTGTTTTTATTTACAGACAATGTTATCAAAAATTATAAAACAACAAATAACAGCCCACTTTTCTCCTGACTTACCCCGATGATGATTCTTTACCTGTTTTTAAATAAATTTTTAACTGATGAATACTTAACAAAATGAATAGGGCAACTTAGTGGATACAGCACTGGGAGGCTCTTTTTCTAAGAGTCTCTGGTTTTATCCTGGGGCACTCTCAGTCTACTTTTACAAATTAGAGACATGAGGGCAGTTGAGTGCAGTGCTGACGACCATGCCTCACTGACTCCTTGTGTACTGAAGTCTTAGTATTCAGTGTGCTGTATCCACACTGTCCTGATTGGGCAGTCATGCCAATGGAACCTACTTTTACCTTTTACTTAACAAAAGTATAAACCAAAAATGTTCCTTGCATATTTAAGTCTCAACAAAGCAGAAGATACATGCCATGAATAACTTGATCAATACTTTTTTCTATTTACATGCCA